AAGAATAAAAGATGGAAATAATGTGCAATTACAACTTACAAATACTAGAAATAATGTTTCCAAATGATTACTGATCAAATCCTTGCAAAAACCTTCGAAATCCCCTCTCAAAATGTGCTCTGATATGTTGTGTGTGTAAAAATGACCAAATTCCCGTGATAAAAAAGAGGAAAAAAAACTGTCAAAGGCAGTTTTTGGGTCGAACACGGCCCGTGTTAAAATAGGCTAAACGACACGGTCGTGTTCAGCATCAACACGCCCGTGTTGATTTGCACTAAACTGACACGGCCCGTGTTCAGCATGGTCAACAGCTTCTTCTTGGTCAAACACGCCCCGTGCTCACTTTTCAGTGTAAATCCAACACGCCCCGTGTACCCCTCTGACTCCGAATCCAAACTTGATTTTTCCAACTTTTCCGTTCTTCGTCCGATCATCCCGAAATCTTCACCAATGCTTTCCGGCACCTCCCAAAGCACGTTCTAACCTCCGGTTTACCTAAAAAGAACATGAAAGTGTGCAAATAAGGTTGTTCTAGAGACTAACATGAATATGATGAAATGCAATAAAAATGAAGAATAACTATGCTAAATAGATGCATAAAAAGGGACTAAAAGGTGTGCGAAAAGGTGCATAAAATGCACCTAACACCCCGGTATGCCTGGCATGGGTAGGTTGAGCACCCATGTATGCTCAGCAGGGTAGGTCGGGCACCAAAATATGTCTGACAGTATGTCTATTTTATGGTATGTGGTATGATGGGGGAACTCACTAAGCTTTGTGCTTACGATTTTCAGTTTTGGTTTCAGGTACTTCTTTTTCGAAAGGAAAGGAGCCGATATGATTGCAGCGCATCACACCATGATTTCCGCACATGGGATCTTTGGGAGTTGTACTCTGATGTTGTTTTATCATGATATGTTTTGATTACTGATACATTGGTTTTGATATGAGTTGACACTATGGATGTTTTCAGACAATTGGTTTTATAATTATTAAATCAAAAATGAAAATTTTGGTCTTAAATTTTGGGATGTTACAATATAATTAATACAATAATTAGAAATATTTAACTATAAATAAAATTAAAAAATTATTCAATTTTATTATTAAATTCCATTCCATTCTCCCGTAAACAAGTACCAGAATATATCATTTTTGAGGTTAGCCAAGTAGAAAATAGCAACACTTTCATTGATTTGTTTCTTACATCCTTCTATTTTCATTAATTTTTGTTCTTACTAAAGCATTGTACTTTGAAAATACAATGCATTAATAAGAAAAAATATTAATGCAACTAGAATGACTGTAATAAGGAAATCAATAAAGCTGTGCGATTTTTTATTTGACTAAACTCAAAAATGGTTTTCATTTTAAATGCAAGCTATAGCAACTTACTATTGTAAATTTCATGTTTTTTTACACACAACACACATAAACAATGATGTTTCAGTTCCACTTCTGCCTCTATCTAAATTCGAGAATGCATCAGATTGTCATAAAAATATTCTTGCCCTTTTTTAAATTTTTAATATTTTTAACTATGTAGAAACCATGGTTAACAAATTGAAAACCCTTTTCCAAAATAACACTTTAGTAATAAAATAATATTAAAAATAAAAGAATATAAAAATATCCGGTTAAAATTTTGATTTGTACGTTATGGTTTTCTTCAAAATAATGTTAAATTATCATTATCAGTTTTTTTATCTGTTAAAAGTATCTACCATTCGTATTTATACATACTTGAAAACTAAAAGGTTAATCTAGAGATTAACATAATAAAAATTTGATGTCATTTATAATATTAATTTTGATCTCAAATACTTCAACGAATATGACCTGATTTACTATACATGCACATCAATCTAAATGATTTGTTTTCACTGTTTTGTTTATATCACCCAATTTGTTTTCAATTTTATTATTTGCTTAAACAATAATAACAAAGTTTTGAAATTATGTAGCTATGATTGGTAGATGGGGACAATTGCTTTTTCAGATAAAATTTGGTGGACACATAATGATTCCATTAGTGTTCCTTTTGGAGGTATGTTTGAAAATATTTGGTTTTAGAAGTTGTCTTAGCAATATAGATGTTATATTTGTTTGTGTTTGATTTTTTTAGATTTGTCATATATTGTGAAATAAACTCATCAAGTTATTAGTCATCAAATTGCGATGTGTTTCATGCTATATAGGTTGTGAAAATTCCTCTCATTAGATACCAGGGCTGCCAAATCACACGGTAACGGATGATGAAGCTCTTTTTTGTTAGAACATGTTGGAATATGAAGGTATACAACAGATAACAAAAGGTGACTTAATATCTTAATCCTTTTCTGTTATATGGATTTTACTTTCATAGTTTCATATCCCTGATTTGGTTCTTAAAACAGCCTAAATGACCAAGTTTATGAAATTGTTGTTGATTAGAAAGATAAGAGGGAGAACCTCCAGAACCTTTCAAGGGGTTGCAGGTGTAATATTTTCACTACTCTTTTAATTTAATATTTTCTCAAAACGAGAATTGAAGTTTGTTGTGGCTTGTTCTTAGTTTGGTTATTTTCCTTATTTTGTCAATTTTTCATAAAAAGTTTCAACTTACAAAAAAATAGTCGGTATAGCACTTTTTGTTGTAGTTTTAGTCCTTAAAATGAACACTACTAACCAAAATTTGTTAAGTCTGCTCCAGATTGGGGAAAAAGTCAGATACATAAACGATTGAGAGGTCGTTTTTGTCAAGGTATTTTCAACACAACCGAGTCAAAAGGGTTTATTGAATGTTTTTATCTGTTGAAGAACGAAGACTCCCTACATGCCATCAAACGAATTTATGATATTTTTCAACTTTGGTTGGGGTTCAATTGGTATGTTGGAACGAAATCTTTGGTTTCAATTGTTCTGTGACGAGATACTTTTACTAATATTAATATCTCCTTGAAGGCTCGAAGGGCGTTTTGGTCACTGAAAGGCATTATAAGGCTTCAGGTCTACAAGAACTTTTGGTAACTCATCTTATTCAAGTTCAACTTTTTCTTTTTTAAATATAAATGGTTTCTTTGTAAACACTTTCGTTGTAAGTATGGTGTTTAACAAAACTCTTGACTGGGTTTTTTCATTGATATACTTGGGATTGACTTTTTTATTCTACATTCTTTCCATTATTTTGCAACTTTGATTATGTATATAGTCAATATGTACTTTTGTTGTTTGCGGAATGTTGTTTGTGTGAATTGAAAAGCCAAGAGTACAATTCAGTAGTATCAGAGAAAGGGATTTATTCTTCTCATTCCAAAAAAAAGCCTTTCTCACAATGCTAAAATACCCTCTAACCCCCACAACTCCAACACCCACAAGCAGGATTCTTCCCTACTTTTTGTTAAGCGAAAGGAAGTTGGGCTCATACTGCCCACCCCATAACAAAACATAAAATTTCATATGAGAGAATACAACGAATTTCACTTTGACGATTAAATACATTTTGTTGAATTTATGTTGCCCTTTGCTTTTTGAATACTACGCTCACTGTTTTCTTTTTCTTTTTTTTTTCTTTTTTTTTTTGTTTTTTTCGTTCATCGTTATTCATCAGCCAACCAATCAACTTAGTATATTATTTTTTTTACTATTAGCTTAATTGCTTAATTACTTCATTATTGTTTTTATTTTCATTATAGATTTTATAATTTTAGTGTAGGCTTCTAATAATTTAGATTATTACTTCTTGTTATAAATTAATTATTTGTATGTTGTATTATATGTATTATTGTTGATAGTCTGAGTCCGTTTTAGATTATTTTAATGATCTAAGAAAACGTCGTGTGCAACTTAAATGAACAATTTGCTTTAGAATGCGTATATTCAAGGCCGGTCCTGAGGAATTAAATATCCTCAAAGGCCCAGGACGAGCCAGAAAAAAGGGTCATTATAATTATTATAAGTTTTTATTTTTAAATAAAAATATATAATGAAAAAATTGGGTAATGTGCAACTGCCTACTTTGCCCCCTCAACGCCCGATATATTGTCACATTTTTTTTTCATTTAAAGTAAGTTTCTATTCGTTCATATTTTGTAAATTATTTGGTCTATCGTAAAACAAAATCCTAGCTATGTCCATTGACTTCATCTATGTGTGTATGTTGCTTCATCTATGTGTGTATGTTGTTGGGGCAATTAAATAATATGTATTATTATTATTATTATTATTATTATTATTATTATTATTATTATAATTATAAAAAACTTATTTATATATTGAATTTAATGCCAAACACGATCAGAATATCTTACATTCATGATTTACATATTTCATTAAGATAAACGTATCTTACACTCGTGGTTTGACTTATTTGGTTCATTTCTCGAGTCATATATCACTTTTTTTTAAGTCTATAATATTATGTGTCCCACGTCATGGAATTAAACGGTGCTATTTTTCTTGATGCTTACATATCCTATTTTGTATTTAGCCAAATATATAAAGTTTGACTATTTCATTATTTATATGAAAATGTTCTGTAGCCGGATAAAAAAAAATTCATAATTAAATTCCACGAGGGTATCATAATCCAAAATTTTAATTATAAAAACTTGTCAGTAACTGTTGCCTTTGTTTCAAGTAGTGGAATCCATAAAAATATAAAAGATATTTGTTAAGTTTCACATGTGACTAGCCATTTGGTAAAGGCTTTATCTTTTAAATTGAAAGCCTTCGGTTCTAATCTGACGAATTTTTCTAGTTAAGATTTTACATGTTCTTTTTTTATTATTATTATTATTAATTCTGATTAGATTTTGGTTTCTAGAGAGCCATATGTCACATTCACAAATGTCTTAATGGATTTGGTAGTACAACTCCATCTAATTAATATTTAACTATTTATAATTAGGTCAGCAGAATATCCTTTTATCTTTATCACATCCTTTTTATTCCATACAAACACCACTTCATTAAGCTCTAATTTGATAAAATTCCCTACAAATTAACTGACCAAGTTAGTTATGTCCTCCTCGATTCCTCAAAACAACAACACTACAGACTCTTCCGAACCTGGCCAAACCGGTTTTGATACAAACACTATTGTAGTTCTAGCAGCCTTGTTATGTGCACTTGTAGCTGCACTTGTACTGAACTCAGTTATACAATATGCTTTGCGAAATAGGCGTCAATCCTTAGAAGCAGCAACTACTACTGATAAACATTCCATAAAGAAGATTCCTGTGGAAGTTTTTAGGTGTGGAGCAGAGATACTAGCAACCGAGTGCTCTATCTGTCTAGGAGACTTTGTAGATGGAGATAAGGTAAGAGTGTTGCCTGAATGTAACCATGAGTTTCATGTCAAGTGTGTTGATAAGTGGTTGGTTGATCATATGTCATGCCCGAATTGTAGGCATTTAGTGGCTTTGCCACCCGGAGGCAATCGAGTAGGTGTTAATCAGAGTGAATATGATAGTGTGGTTATTGATTTCATGGTGTGAAAGAACTCCATTGACAATAATGGGTCATGGTAAATGCTTTAGCTTGTAGAGGTGACGTTTTTACATATTTCATTGTCAAAGTTGCTTTTGTAAATCATCGATCTTTAGCTTTTTATCAAACACCTTTTTAGTACATGTATCTTGTTTTTATTAATATACTAATTTAGCTAACAAATTCATACTTCCCTTGAGTAAATAGTTTAGAGGTGATAAAATTAATGGGTAGATTTGGATTTCGGCACGAGTAAAAACCATTCAAATCACAATGACAGTTCCCAATTGATTTTGAATTTCTTAAATCTTAAATAACCCAGACTAATTGTTAACTTTGATGAATGAAGATCGATGAATGAAGAGAGAAGAATTGAAATTTTTCATTAAGTTTCAGAAACAATTACAGAGATGATTATATACAGCTGATAAACAAGAAGGTAATCTAAGGAACAAAATAACTAACTCAGTGTTAAATTACTGAAATACCCTTGAACAACTATAACAGAATCTAACACCCCCCCCTCAAGCTGGAGGATGTGAAAAGAGTCCAAGCTTGGAAGTAGCTTCTTGATGTTGTGGTCCATATAACGATTTTGTGAACACATCTGCTAATTTCTGTTTAGTGTTTACATGAAATAGTGAAATCAATCCAGCTTGAAGTTTTTCCCGGACAAAATGACAATCCAATTCAATATGTTTAGTGCGTTCATGATAAACAAGATTGTTAGCAATGTAAATCGCAGCTTGATTATCACATTTAAGAGGTATTGGGGTAATATTGTCAACTTGAAATTCAGATAGGAGTCGACTAAGCCAAGCCAATTCAGCACATACTCTTCGCATTGATCGATATTCTGCTTCTGCAGATGATAAGGACACTGTCACTTGCTTCTTTGACTTTCAAGATATTGGTGTATTTCCAAACATAATGAAGAAGCCACTCACACTTCGTCTGGTTATAGGACATGAAGCCCAATCTGAATCACAAAAAGATTCAATATTGAAAGTAGGATTGTTATTGAAAAATAACCCTTGAAATATGGTGCCTTTAAGATATCTCAACACATGAAGTGCAGCTTTATAATGAGCATGACAGGGAGTTTGATTAAACTGACTTAAATGTTGAACTGTGTATGCTAAGTCAGGTCGAGTATGAAGCAAAAAATTCAATTTTCCAATGAGTTGTCAGTAGGTTGTAGGATCTGGTAAAACATCATCCATTGAAGGCAATAAATGAGTTTTAGATGGTAAAGGAGTAGTAGCAATAGGTTGATCTTCCATGTTATAAGCAGACAATAACTCCTTGATATATTTTTGTTGATGAACGACCATCCCTTGATCAATGTTGTTAAATTCGAGTCCCAGAAAGTAATGGATATATCCCAAATCTTTAATTTGGAATTGTTCATGAAGGGATTGCTTTAAAGATGTAATCTCTGCTTCATTATTTCCTGTGACTAAGATGTCATCGACATATATGGCAACAATGACAATATGATGAAGAGTCTTCTTAATGAATAAAGAGTAATCATTTGAAGATCTATAATATCCCTTGATAATAAGAGCAGATGAAAGCTTATCATACCACTGTCTTGATGCTTGTTTTAATCCGTATAGAGATTTTTTGAGCTTGCAAACCAAAGAAGGAGATGAAACAGAATAACCAGGAGGAACACGCATATATACTTCTTCATGTAAATCACCGTGCAAAAAAGCATTGTTAACATCAAACTGATGAACATGCCATCCTCTTTTTACTGCTAAAGCAACCATACATCGTACAGTGGTGAATTTGACAACTGGTGAAAACGTTTCATGATAATCAATGTCTTGTTTTTGAGTAAAGCCTTTGGCTACCAAACGGGCTTTATGTCTTTCAACACTACCATCTGCCCGATATTTGATTTTGAATACCCATCTACAAGCAATGGGTCGTTTTCCTTTAGGCAATTTGACCACATCCCAAGTTTGATTATCATGCAAAGCTTTTAATTCTTTCTGCATAGCTTTTAATATGTAATTAACGAATTTAATTATAAAATCTATTGCTTGTTCATAAAGATAACTTTGTATAGAAATGATTTCTATGTAATAGTAAAATTACCGAAAATGTCTCCCATTAATGGTAGGAAATAAAAATTATAGAAATGATTCATATTTGATAGTAAACATACACAAATGTCCCTGTGAAATAGTGAAAAACAAAATTACAAAAATGGTCATATAACGGCAAATCAGAGATGGGTAATAGAGATGGTCATCATGTAATGGTAAAATTACAGAAATGGTAATTGTATAATGGTAAGAAAAGAAAAAAAAAATACATAAATGGTCCAGATATGTAATAGTAAAATTACAAAAATAGTCACCGCGTCTTTATTTTTTGTAGGAAATTTCGATAGATAATAACATTTTAACTTTTTGTATTAATTTGTTCAATCAAAAATAATTTTTTTTACATATATGATTAATAAACTATCCTTTTTTAAAACTCTCGTTTAAATAAACAGGGATCTTTCAAATTATCATTTAGAATTTAACAAAATAAAACCAATAAGCACAATATTAATATCGAACATATTTGTTACACATATAGGCCAACAATGAGAATGTTGTGCCTTGCGGGTTCTTGGAACCATTATACAAAAGCTAAACAAAAGCTGAAGGTACTAAGAGGGTGTTTGAGATTGTTTTTTAGCCTAAAAAGTCATTTTCAACAAAATAACTTGTTGACTTATAATTTTTTCTAAAAGGAAGATTTAAAATGTGTTTCGATGAACTTTTGAGGGAGGAAATGTCAAAAAGCCAAAAGTCACAGATTCCTGACTTTTAAAATCACTTATTTTTCTACTTACAAAAAGTCATTTTAAAAGGACTTTTAGATTACACATTTTCAAACTTTTAACTTTTTAAAATAGCCAAAAGTCCAAAAATCACTTTGAAAAGGAATCTCAAACACCCTCTAAGTCTATATAGTATGGGGTTTAGTTTTTTTCTTATGGTTTTATTATAATAGATATAGTTAACTTTAATTACTTAGATTTCATTAATATAAAAATAGAAGAAAGTTTTACATAGAAATAGCTAGTAAACGAGCAACAAGCTGTGCCGCAACCCAATATAGGTATGGATAGAAAAGGAACTCTAGTTTTCTTTTTTTCTTTTTGGTCAAAATCACAAATACGAGAGAAAATATAGACGAAGATGTTAATCTTACACCTAGTTCCTGAGTTTTAGTAAAGGAAAAAAAAAGGGGATGAAAAATATGGAGAGAAAAAAGAAAGGGAGAAAAAAGAACAAAACTTGTAATTTGATGTTCCCAAGTTAGAAAGAAAGGAAATAGAACAAGATAAACCCTTATTCAAAATCCGTAAACAAACACACCCTTACGTCTACTCCCCCCCCCCCCCCCCCCCCCCCCCCCCCAAATCCATCACATTTAGGAGGGAGATTAGGAGAGAAAATCATCCCTTATATTCTCTTCACTTCTTTACAATTCCTTCTAAAAAATAATATGAGCAATAAGATATTTTTTATTTTCTTTTTAGTTTTGTTCATTTGCATTATCTTCTCTCCTTAAGATGGACCCGAGAACAAGGTGTCAGGGTTTCATGAATAGAGTGTGATTGTTGGTGATGGTAAAGACCCATGCCTAGGGATTTTTATAATATAATGAAAAGAGGATCATATATAAGTCCATTAGTAAGATCAAAAACTTAAGAACCATAGTTTTGTGTTATTGATCATTTAAAGGCCATATGTATTGATTTTGTTATATATTGACTTGAAACATTGCTTGAGGACGGCATAAACAGCCTCATATGCTGATAAATCATTGTTTCTATTCAAAGGTTGAGTTTGGGGTCGAATTATGATTTTAATAGGATTCTCTCTGATATTCATCAATCATCCATTATGGTAGTAGTCCTTGATTTTAATAGGAAAGTCCATCAGCCGAGAAGTTAGTCGAGATCTACATGAAGTAGGTGGTTGTACGGCATGGAGTTCCGGTTTCTGTTGTTTTGGACCGTGATGTCCATTTTACTTCCAGGTTCTGGAGGAAGTCTCATGAGGAGTTGGGTAGTTGGCTGCTTTTCGATACTTCTTACCACCCTTAGACCGATGGTCAGAGTGAGCGGACCATTCATACTCTTGAGGATATTCTTTAGGCGTGACTTTTGGATTTTAGTGGGAGCTAGGATACCTACCTTCTTTTAGTTGAATTATCTTACAACAACAACTATCACGCCAACATTTGTATGCCTCCCGTTGACTTTCTCTATGAGAGGAAATATCGGACCCCGATTTGCTGGAGTGAGGTTGGTGAGCGAGTGATGAGCACTGAGGTAGTGCTCAACACTACATAGATGATACAGTTGGTGCATGATAGATTGTGGACTGCGTAGAGTAGACATAAGAGCTATGCTAATCGACGTTGTTCCATTCTCGAGTTCTAGGTTGGGGATTTCGTACTTCTGAAGGTGTTACCATGGAAGGGTGTCATCCAGTTTCGAAAGCGGGGCAATTTGGGTTCCAGATTCATTGGTCCTTTCAAGGTTATTGCCCAGGTTGGCAAGGTTGCATATCGATTGGATCTTCTTGTGGAGGTTAATTAGATCCACAACACCTTTCATGTTTCTCAGTTGCCAAAGTGTTTAGCTGATGATTCTGCAGTGGTACCCTTGGATGACATCTAGGTTGATGAACGCTTGAATTATATAAAGAGACTGATTGCTATTATCGAAATGAAGACGAAAACCTTGCGCAACAAGGTGATTGGTTTGGTCAAGGTGCAATGGAAACACCGGAAGGGTTCAGAATAGATGTGGGAAACTGAAGAGGGGATGAGGGAGCATTAAATCGAGTTATTTACAGTAGCGGATTTTGAGAACAAAATCTGATTCAAATGGGGGGGGGGAGTTGCAACATGTCACACCCCCAAACCAGGATGGCTGAAACGTCT